ACACTACACATACACTACACTATACACTACACTACTATACAATACTACACACTACACTACTATACACTACAATACAATACTACACACTACACTACTATACACTACACTACTATACACTACACTACTATACAATACTACACACTACACTACTATACACTACACTATTACACACTACACTACTATACACTACACTACTATACAATACTACACACTACACTACTATACACTACACTACTATACACTACACTATACACTACACCACTATACACTACACTATACACTACACCACTATACACTACACCACTATGAACTACACTACTATACACTACACCACTATACACTGCACTATACACTACACCACTATAAACTACACTACACCACTATACACTACACTACTATACACTATACACTACACCACTTTACACTACACCACTTTACACCACCACTATACACTACACTATACACTACACCACTATACACTACACCACTATAAACTACACTACACCACTATACACTACACTACTATACACTACACTATACACTACACCACTATACACTACACTTTACACTACACCACTTTACACTACACCACTATAAACTACACTATACACTACACCACTTTACACCACCACTATACACTACACTATACACTACACAACTATACACTACACAACTATACACTACACTAGTATACACTACACTAGTATACACTACACCACTTTACACTACACCACTATACACTACACCACTTTACACTACACTATAAACTACACTATACACTACACTACTATACACTACACCACTATACACTACACCACTATACACTAGACCACTATACACTACACCACTATACACTACACCACTATACACTACACCACTTTACACTATACACTACACTATACACTACACCACTATAAACTACACTATACACTACACCACTATACACTACGCTACTATACACTACACTACTATACAATACTACACACTACACTACTATACACTACACTATACACTACACCACTATACACTACATTCATATTCAATGTATGCAGTGTCAATGACAGTGATCACGTTGTTGATGATGTTATTAATGTTGTTGTGGTTGTTGTTGTTGACGTGAATGTTGTTGATGTTTTTGACATGACTGTGTTTGTTGTTGATGTTGTTGACACGAATGTTGTTGTTGATCTTGTAGATGATGTTGTTAACATGAATGTTGTTGTTGTTGATGATGTTGAGGATGTTTACATGAATGTTGATGTTGTTGTTGATGATGTTGTTAACATGAATGTTGTTGTTGATGTTGTTGACACGAACGTTGTTGTTGATCTTGTAGATGATGTTGTTACATGAATGTTGTTGATGATGTTGTTGATGATGTTGTTACATGAATGTTGTTGTTGATGTTGTTGACACGAATGTTGTTGTTGATCTTGTAGATGATGTTGTTACATGAATGTTGTTGATGATGTTGTTGATGATGTTGTTACATGAATGTTGTTGTTGATGATGTTGTTGATGATGTTGTTAACATGAATGTTGTTGTTGATGATGTTGTTGATGTTGTTAACATGAATGTTGATGTTGTTGTTGATGTTGTTGACATGAATGTTGATGTTGTTGTTGATGTTGTTGTTGTTGATGTTGTTGACATGAATGTTGTTGTTGATCTTGTAGATGATGTTGTTAACATGAATGTTGTTGTTGATGATGTTGATGATGTTGTTACATGAATTTTGATGTTGTTGTTGATGATGTTGTTGATGTTGTTACATGAATTTTGATGTTGTTGATGATGTTGTTGACACGAACGTTGTTGTTGATCTTGTAGATGATGTTGTTAACATGAATGTTGTTGTTGTTGTTGTTACATGAATGTTGATGTTGATGTTGTTGACACGAATGTTGTTGATCTTGTAGATGATGTTGTTAACATGAATGTTGTTGTTGTTGATCTTGTAGATGATGTTGTTAACATGAATGTTGATGTTGTTGATGTTGTTGACACGAATGTTGTTGTTGTTGTAGATGATGTTGTTACATGAATGTTGATCTTGTAGATGATGTTGTTAACATGAATGTTGATGTTGTTGATGATGTTGTTACATGAATGTTGATGTTGATACATGAATGTTGTTGTTGATGTTGTTACATGAATGTTGTTGATGTTGTTACATTAATGTTGTTGTTGATGTTGTTGACACGAATGTTGTTGTTGATCTTGTAGATGATGTTGTTAACATGAATGTTGATGTTGTTGTTGATGATGTTACATGAATGTTGATGTTGTTGATGATGTTGTTGATGTTGTTACATGAATGTTGTTGTTGATCTTGTAGATGATGTTGTTAACATGAATGTTTATGTTGTTGATGATGTTGTTACATGAATGTTGATGTTGTTACATGAATGTTGTTGATGTTGTTACATGAATGTTGTTGTTGATGTTGTTGACACGAACGTTGTTGTTCTTGTAGATGATGTTGTTAACATGAATGTTGTTGATGATGTTGTTACATGAATGTTGATGTTGGTGATGTTGTTACATGAATGTTGATGTTGTTGATGATGTTGTTACATGAATGTTGATGTTGTTGATGATGTTGTTACATGAATGTTGATGTTGTTGATGATGTTGTTGTTGATGTTGTTACATGAATGTTGATGATGTTGATGTTGTTGTTGTTGATGTTGTTACATGAATGTTGATGATGTTGTTACATGAATGTTGATGTTGTTGTTGATGATGTTGTTGTTGATGTTGTTACATGAATGTTGATGATGTTGATGTTGTTGTTGATGTTGTTACATGAATGTTGATGTTGTTACATGAATGTTGATGTTGTTGTTGATGTTGTTGTTGATGTTGTTGACACGAATGTTGTTGATCTTGTAGATGATGTTGTTAACATGAATGTTGATGTTGTTGATGATGTTGTTACATGAATGTTGATGTTGTTGTTGTTGATGTTGTTGTTGATGTTGTTGACACGAATGTTGTTGATCTTGTAGATGTTGTTACATGAATGTTGATGTTGTTGTTGACGATGTTGTTACATGAATGTTGATGTTACATGAATGTTGATGTTGTTGTTGATGTTGTTGATGTTGTTGACATTAATGTTGTTGTTCTTGTAGATGATGTTGTTACATGAATGTTGATGTTGTTACATGAATGTTGTTGACATGAATGTTGTTGATATTGTTGTTGTTGTTGATGTTGTTACATGAATGTTGATGTTGTTGTTGATGTTGTTACATGAATGTTGTTGATGTTGTTGTTGATGTTGTTACATGAATGTTGTCGATGTTGTTGATGTTGTTGTTGATGTTGTTACATGAATGTTGATGTTGTTGTTGATGTTGTTGTTGATGTTGTTACATGAATGTTGTCGATGTTGTTGATGTTCTAGATTTGAAGCTTCCGTGACTGCAAGGATCCATACTCTTTGGTTCTATTCGGTAAAGTCACGTAGGTAAATAATACAAAATTGTGATTATTGTTGTTTTATTATTTACCTACGTGACTTTACCGAATAGAACCAAAGAGTATGGTTGTTGATGTTGTTGACATGAATGTTGATGTTGTCGATGTTGTTACATGAATGTTGATGTTGTTACATGAATGTTGATGTTGTTGATGTTGTTACATGAATGTTGATGTTGTTGTTGATGTTGTTGTTGATGTTGTTACATGAATGTTGATGTTGTTGATGTTGTTACATGAATGTTGATGATGTTGATGTTGTCGATGTTGTTACATGAATGTTGATGTTGTTGATGTTGTTACATGAATGTTGATGTTGTTGATGTTGTTACATGAATGTTGATGTTGATGATGTTGTTACATGAATGTTGATGTTGTTGTTGATGTTGTTGATGTTGTTACATGAATGTTGATGTTGTTACATGAATGTAAATGTTGTTGTTGATGTTGTTGATGTTGTTGTTGATGTTGTTGACATGAATGTTGTTGTTGTTGATGTTGTTGACATGAATGTTGTTGATATTGTTGATGTTGTTGATGTTGTTGTTGATGTTGTTGACATGAATGTTGTTGATATTGTTGATGTTGTTACATGAATGTTGATGTTGTTGTTGATGTTGTTGATGTTGTTGTTGATGTTGTTGACATGCATGTTGTTGATATTGTTGATGTTGTTACATGAATGTTGATGTTGTTGTTGATGTTGTTGTTGATGTTGTTGACATGAATGTTGATGTTGTTGTTGATGATGTTGTTACATGAATGTTGTTGATGATGTTGTTACATGAATGTTGTTGATGATGTTGTTACATGAATGTTGTTGTTGATGTTGTTGTTGATGTTGTTGTTGATGTTGTTGACATGAATGTTGTTGATATTGTTGATGTTGTTACATGAATGTTGATGTTGTTGATGTTGTTGTTGATGTTGTTGACATGAATGTTGTTGATATTGTTGATGTTGTTACATGAATGATGATGTTGTTGTTGATGTTGTTGTTGATGTTGTTGACATGAATGTTGTTGATGATGTTGTTGTTGATGTTGTTGTTGATGTTGTTGACATGAATGTTGTTGATATTGTTACATGAATGTTGATGTTGTTGTTGATGTTGTTGACATGAATGTTGTTGTTGTTGATGTTGTTGTTGATGTTGTTGTTGATGTTGTTGACATGAATGTTGTTGTTGATGTTGTTGTTGATGTTGTTGTTGATGTTGTTGACATGAATGTTGTTGATATTGTTGATGTTGTTACATGAATGTTGATGTTGTTGATGTTGTTGTTGATGTTGTTGACATGAATGTTGTTGATATTGTTGATGTTGTTACATGAATGATGATGTTGTTGTTGATGTTGTTGACATGAATGTTGTTGTTGATGTTGTTGTTGTTGTTGATGTTGTTGTTGATGTTGTTGACATGAATGATGTTGTTGATGTTGTTGTTGATGTTGTTGTTGATGTTGTTGACATGAATGTTGTTGATCTTGTTGTTGTTGTTGTTGATGTCCAGCCGACCGCAAGCAACTGGACGACGTGATGTTCTCCATCACCAGCACGGCGCGCAGAGTCCGGACACAGCTCAAGGGTGAGTGGCAGACACAGAGACACAGAGACACAGAGACAGAGAGACACACATAGAGACAGAGAGACACACATAGAGACAGAGACACAGACAGAGACACAGAGACACAGACAGAGACACAGAGACACAGAGACAGAGAGACAGAGAGACACACAGAGACACACATAGAGACAGAGACACAGACAGAGACACAGAGACAGAGAGACACAGAGAGACACAGAGAGACACACAGAGACACACAGAGACACACAGAGACACAGAGAGACACACAGAGACACAGAGAGACACACAGAGACACAGAGATACACAGAGAGACACAGAGAGACACAGAGAGACACAGAGAGACACACAGAGAGACACACATAGAGACAGAGAGACACACACAGAGACACACATAGAGACAGAGAGACACACATAGAGACAGACACAGACAGAGACACAGACAGAGACACAGACAGAGACACAGAGACACAGAGACAGAGAGACAGAGAGACACACAGAGAGACACACAGAGACACAGAGACACAGAGACACAGAGACAGAGAGACACACATAGAGACAGAGAGACACACATAGAGACAGACAGAGAGACACAGAGAGACACAGAGAGACACAGAGAGACACACAGAGACACACAGAGACACACAGAGACACAGACACAGAGACAGAGAGACACACATAGAGACAGAGAGACACACATAGAGACAGAGAGACACACATAGAGACAGAGACACACATAGAGACAGAGACACACATAGAGACAGACACAGAGACATAGAGACAGAGACACAGAGACACCCACACAGAGACACAACAACAACAACAACAACCGCCATTCGCCACTAAGTGGCGGTGACGTCACCACGACGCTTGTGCCAGGCTATGTGCACCCTGAGGCCACGTGAAGTGTCGAATGCCCGCTGGCAGGAGGTCACGGGGCAGACCCAGCAGGTGCCACGGGTCGACTGACTGAGATGACTGGCTGAGATGACTGGCTGATGCACAGAGAGACACACACAGAGACACACACACAGAGACACAGAGAGACAGAGACACACATAGAGACAGACACAGACAGAGAGACACAGAGACAGAGAGACACAGACAGAGACAGAGAGACACACATAGAGACACTGAGACAGAGAGACACAGGGACAGAGAGACAGAGACACAGAGACACACAGAGAGACACACATAGAGACAGAGAGACACACACAGAGACACACATAGAGACAGAGAGACACACATAGAGACAGAGAGACACAGAGACAGAGAGACACACAGAGACACAGAGACAGACACACAGAGACAGAGAGACAGAGACACACATAGAGACAGAGACACAGACAGAGAGAGACAGAGACAGAGAGACACAGACAGAGAGACAGAGAGACACAGACAGAGAGACACGGACAGAGAGACACAGACACAGAGTAATAGACACAGAGACAGAGACACAGACACACAGAGACAGAGAGACAGAGAGACACACAGAGACACACAGAGACACAGACAGAGACACAGACAGAGAGACAGAGAGACACAGACAGAGACACAGACAGAGACACAGACAGAGACAGAGAGACAGAGACAGAGAGACACAGAGAGAGAGAGACACAGAGAGAGAGAGGCACAGACAAAGAGACACAGACAGATAGACACAGACAGATAGACACAGACAGAGACACAGACAGAGAGACACAGACAGAGAGACACAGACAGACACGGACAGAGAGACACAGACAGAGAGACACAGACAGAGAGACACAGACAGAGAGACACAGAAAGAGACACAGAAAGAGACACAGACAGAGACACAGACAGAGAGACACAGACAGAGAGACACAGACAGAGAGACACAGACAGAGAGACACAGACAGAGAGACACAGACAGAGAGACACAGACAGAGAGACACAGACAGAGAGACACAGACAGAGAGACACAGACAGAGAGACACAGACAGAGAGACACAGACAGAGAGAGACACACAGACAGAGAGAGACACACAGACAGAGAGAGACACACAGACAGAGAGAGACACAGAGACAGAGAGAGACACAGAGACAGAGAGAGACACAGAGACAGAGAGACAGAGAGACACAGAGACAGAGAGACACAGAGACAGAGAGACACAGAGACAGAGAGACACAGAGACAGAGAGACACAGAGACAGAGAGACACAGAGACAGAGAGACACGGACAGAGAGAGGCACACAGAGAGGCACAGAGAGAGGCACAGACAGAGAGACACAGACAGAGAGACACAGACAGAGAGAGAGACACGGAGAGAGACACGGAGAGAGACACGGAGAAAGACACGGAGAAAGACACGGAGAGACAGTCTGTGGGTCTCTGTGTGAGTCTGTGGGTCTCTGTGAGTGAGTCTGTGGGTGTCTGTGTGAGTGAGTCTGGGTCTCTGTGTGAGTGAGTCTGTGGGTCTCTGTGTGAGTGAGTCTGGGTCTCTGTGTGAGTGAGTCTGTGGGTCTCTGTGAGTGAGTCTGTGGGTCTCTGTGTGAGTGAGTCTGCGGGTCTCTGTGTGAGTGAGTCTGTGGGTCTCTGTCTGAGTGAGTCTGTGGGTCTCTGTGTGAGTGAGTCTGTGGGTCTCTGTGTGAGTGAGTCTGTGGGTCTCTGTGTGAGTGAGTCTGTGGGTCTCTGTGTGAGTGAGTCTGTGGGTCTCTGTGTGAGTGGTGAGTCTGTGGGTCTCTGTGTGAGTGAGTCTGTGGGTCTCTGTGTGAGTGGTGAGTCTGTGGGTCTCTGTGTGAGTGGTGAGTCTGTGGGTCTCTGTGTGAGTGAGTCTGTGGGTCTCTGTGTGATGAGTCTGTGGGTCTCTGTGTGAGTGAGTCTGTGGGTCTCTGTGCGAGTGAGTCTGTGGGTCTCTGTGCGAGTGAGTCTGTGGGTCTCTGTGAGTGAGTCTGTGGGTCTCTGTGTGAGTGAGTCTGTGGGTCTCTGTGTGAGTGAGTCTGTGGGTCCCTGTGTGAGTGAGTCTGTAGGTCTCTGTGTGAGTGAGTCTGTGGGTCTCTGTGTGAGTGAGTCTGTGGGTCTCTGTGTGAGTGGTGAGTCTGTGGGTCTCTGTGTGAGTGGTGAGTCTGTGGGTCTCTGTGTGAGTGGTGAGTCTGTGGGTCTCTGTGTGAGTGGTGAGTCTGTGGGTCTCTGTGTGTGAGTCTGTGGGTCTCTGTGTGAGTCTGTGGGTCTCTGTGTGAGTGAGTCTGTGGGTCTCTGCGTGAGTGAGTCTGTGGGTCTCTGTGTGAGTGAGTCTGTGGGTCTCTGCGTGAGTGAGTCTGTGGGTCTCTGTGTGAGGCTGTGGGTCTCTGTGTGAGTGAGTCTGTGGGTCTCTGTGTGAGTGAGTCTGTGGGTCTCTGTGTGAGTCTGTGGGTCTCTGTGTGAGTGAGTCTGTGGGTCTCTGTGTGAGTGAGTCTGTGGGTCTCTGCGTGAGTGAGTCTGTGGGTCTCTGTGTGAGTGAGTCTGCGGGTCTCTGTGTGAGTGAGTCTGTGGGTCTCTGCGTGAGTGAGTCTGTGGGTCTCTGCGTGAGTGAGTCTGTGGGTCTCTGCGTGAGTGAGTCTGTGGGTCTCTGTGTGAGTGAGTCTGTGGGTCTCTGTGTGAGTGGTGAGTCTGTGGGTCTCTGTGTGAGTGGTGAGTCTGTGGGTCTCTGTGTGAGTGAGTCTGTGGGTCTCTGTGTGAGTGGTGAGTCTGTGGGTCTTTGTGTGAGTGGTGAGTCTGTGGGTCTCTGTGTGAGTGAGTCTGTGGGTCTCTGTGTGAGTCTGTGGGTCTCTGTGTGAGTGAGTCTGTGGGTCTCTGTGTGAGTGGTGAGTCTGTGGGTCTTTGTGTGAGTGAGTCTGTGGGTCTCTGTGTGAGTGAGTCTGTGGGTCTCTGTGTGAGTGGTGAGTCTGTGGGGCTCTGCGTGAGTGAGTCTGTGGGTCTCTGTGTGAGTGGTGAGTCTGTGGGTCTCTGCGTGAGTGAGTCTGTGGGTCTCTGTGTGAGTGAGTCTGTGGGTCTCTGTGTGAGTGAGTCTGTGGGTCTCTGTGTGAGTGGTGAGTCTGTGGGGCTCTGCGTGAGTGAGTCTGTGGGTCTCTGTGTGAGTGGTGAGTCTGTGGGTCTTTGTGTGAGTGAGTCTGTGGGTCTCTGTGTGAGTGAGTCTGTGGGTCTCTGTGTGAGTGGTGAGTCTGTGGGTCTCTGCGTGAGTGAGTCTGTGGGTCTCTGTGTGAGTGAGTCTGTGGGTCTCTGTGTGAGTGAGTCTGTGGGTCTCTGTGTGAGTCTGTGGGTCTCTGTGTGAGTGAGTCTGTGGGTCTCTGCGTGAGTTAGTCTGTGGGTCTCTGTGTGAGTGAGTCTGTGGGTCTCTGTGTGAGTGAGTCTGTGGGTCTCTGTGTGAGTGAGTCTGTGGGTCTCTGAGTGAGTGAGTCTGTGGGTCTCTGTGTGAGTGAGTCTGTGGGACTCTGTGTGAGTGAGTCTGTGGGTCTCTGTGTGAGTAAGTCTGTGGGTCTCTGTGTGAGTGAGTCTGTGGGTCTCTGTGTGAGTGAGTCTGTGGGTCTCTGTGTGAGTGGTGAGTCTGTGGGTCTCTGTATGAGTGAGTCTGCGGGTCTCTGTGTGAGTGAGTCTGTGGGTCTCTGTGTGAGTGAGTCTGTGGGTCTCTGTGTGAGTGAGTCTGTGGGTCTCTGTGTGAGTGAGTCTGTGGGTCTCTGTGTGAGTGGTGAGTCTGTGGGTCTCTGTGTGAGTGAGTCTGTGGGTCTCTGTGTGAGTGGTGAGTCTGTGGGTCTTTGTGTGAGTGGTGAGTCTGTGGGTCTCTGTGTGAGTGAGTCTGTGGGTCTCTGTGTGAGTCTGTGGGTCTCTGTGTGAGTGAGTCTGTGGGTCTCTGTGTGAGTGGTGAGTCTGTGGGTCTTTGTGTGAGTGAGTCTGTGGGTCTCTGTGTGAGTGAGTCTGTGGGTCTCTGTGTGAGTGGTGAGTCTGTGGGTCTCTGTGTGGTGAGTGTGGGTCTCTGTGTGAGTGAGTCTGTGGGTCTCTGTATGAGTGAGTCTGCGGGTCTCTGTGTGAGTGAGTCTGTGGGTCTCTGTGTGAGTGAGTCTGTGGGTCTCTGTGTGAGTGAGTCTGTGGGTCTCTGTGTGAGTGAGTCTGTGGGTCTCTGTGTGAGTGAGTCTGTGGGTCTCTGTGTGAGTGGTGAGTCTGTGGGTCTCTGTGGGTCTCTGTGTGAGTGAGTCTGTGGGTCTCTGTGTGAGTGAGTCTGTGGGTCTCTGTGTGAGTGAGTCTGTGGGTCTCTGTGTGAGTGAGTCTGTGGGTCTCTGTGTGAGTGGTGAGTCTGTGGGTCTCTGTGTGAGTGGTGAGTCTGTGGGTCTCTGCGTGAGTGAGTCTGTGGGTCTCTGTGTGAGTGAGTCTGTGGGTCTCTGTGTGAGTGGTGAGTCTGTGGGTCTCTGTGTGAGTGGTGAGTCTGTGGGTCTCTGTGTGAGTGGTGAGTCTGTGGGTCTCTGCGTGAGTGAGTCTGTGGGTCTCTGTGTGAGTGAGTCTGTGGGTCTCTGTGTGAGTGAGTCTGTGGGTCTCTGTGTGAGTGGTGAGTCTGTGGGTCTCTGTGTGAGTGGTGAGTCTGTGGGTCTCTGCGTGAGTGAGTCTGTGGGTCTCTGCGTGAGTGAGTCTGTGGGTCTCTGCGTGAGTGAGTCTGTGGGTCTCTGCGTGTGAGTGAGTCTGTGGGTCTCTGTGTGAGTGAGTCTGTGGGTCTCTGTGTGAGTGAGTCTGTGGGTCTCTGTGTGAGGCTGTGGGTCTCTGTGTGAGTGAGTCTGTGGGTCTCTGTGTGAGTGAGTCTGTGGGTCTCTGTGTGAGTCTGTGGGTCTCTGTGTGAGTGAGTCTGTGGGTCTCTGTATGAGTGAGTCTGTGGGTCTCTGTGTGAGTGAGTCTGTGGGTCTCTGTGTGAGTTAGTCTGTGGGTCTCTGTGTGAGTGAGTCTGTGGGTCTCTGTGTGAGTGAGTCTGTGGGTCTCTGTGTGAGTGAGTCTGTGGGTCTCTGTGTGAGTGAGTCTGTGGGTCTCTGTGTGAGTGAGTCTGTGGGTCTCTGTGTGAGTTAGTCTGTGGGTCTCTGTGTGAGTGAGTCTGTGGGTCTCTGTGTGAGTGAGTGTGTAGGTCTCTGTGTGAGTGAGTCTGTGGGTCTCTGTGTGAGTCTGTGGGTCTCTGTGTGAGTGAGTCTGTGGGTCTCTGTGTGAGTGGTGAGTCTGTGGGCCTCTGTGTGAGTGAGTCTGCGGGTCTCTGTGTGAGTGAGTCTGTGGGTCTCTGTGTGAGTGAGTCTGCGGGTCTCTGTGTGAGTGAGTCTGTGGGTCTCTGTGTGAGTGGGTCTCTGTGTGAGTGAGTCTGTGGGTCTCTGTGTGAGTGAGTCTGTGGGTCTCTGCGTGAGTGAGTCTGTGGGTCTCTGCGTGAGTGAGTCTGTGGGTCTCTGTGTGAGTGAGTCTGTGGGTCTCTGTGTGAGTGAGTCTGTGGCTCTCTGTGTGAGTGAGTCTGTGGGTCTCTGTGTGGTGAGTCTGTGGGTCTCTGTGTGAGTGAGTCTGTGGGTCTCTGTGTGAGTGAGTCTGTGGGTCTCTGTGTGAGTGAGTCTGTGGGTCTCTGTGTGAGTGAGTCTGTGGGTCTCTGTGTGAGTGAGTCTGTGGGTCTCTGTGTGAGTGAGTCTGTGGGTCTCTTTGTGAGTGAGTCTGTGGGTCTCTGTGTGAGTGAGTCTGTGGGTCTCTGTGTGAGTGAGTCTGTGGGTCTCTGTGTGAGTGAGTCTGTGGTTCTCTGCGTGAGTGAGTCTGTGGGTCTCTGTGTGAGTGAGTCTGTGGGTCTCTGTGTGAGTGAGTCTGTGGGTCTCTGTGTGAGTCTGTGGGTCTCTGTGTGAGTGAGTCTGTGGGTCTCTGTGTGAGTGAGTCTGTGGGTCTCTGTGTGAGTGAGTCTGTGGTTCTCTGCGTGAGTGAGTCTGTGGGTCTCTGTGTGAGTGAGTCTGTGGGTCTCTGTGTGAGTGAGTCTGTGGGTCTCTGTGTGAGTCTGTGGGTCTCTGTGTGAGTGAGTCTGTGGGTCTCTGTGTGAGTGAGTCTGTGTGTCTCTGTGGGTCTTTCTGTTTTGTATCTCAGATCTCGACACGATGCTGGAGATCCCTGACGATTCCAGCACCAGATTGCGGATGCGGAAAACCACTGTGAGTGACACACACAGTGACAACAAAGACAAAGATCCCCCGTATAGCCTTAACAGACTGTAGGGGCAAGTGCTGTTAGCGAGCACCTATGAAGGCCGGAACGATACACGAGGGAGTGGGTGGCTAGCACCACGCCCGACCGCCTTTGTCTCCCCAGTGGCGATGTTTTTATCCACCGCACCAGGTACTCATTTGAGGCTGAGTCGACCTAGGGGAGGCCCGGGACCGGTTCAGATAATCGTCACTGGTGTTGGCCGTGAGCGGGAATCGAACCCGGGTCGCCAGGTTCATAGCGCAGCGTAGCGCTAACCGCTACACTATCGCTCCCCACTACACACTCACAACAACAACCACAACAACCGCCATTCACCACTAAGTGGCGGTGACGTCACCACGACGCTTGTGCCAGGCTATGTGCACCCTGAGGCCACGTGAAGTGTCGAACGCCCGCTGGCAGGAGGTCACGGGGCAGACCCAGCAGGTGCCACGGGTCGACTGACTGAGATGACTGGCTGATGCACCACCTGTGCCCCCTACTGTGCCAACCTGCTGTGCTTTAGCCACCCGGCGCTCCGCTCGTTGTTGTGAGCGTCGCTCCTCCGCCCTCCGTTGTTGTTGGAGGGCGACTGCCTCCAACTGCCCAGTAGCGTCCTTCACGAGCCTCCTCCACAGAGGCCGATCTTGACACCGCTGGTACCGGTCATCGGCAAGTCCACTCAGCTCCACGTCCTCCTGTACCACATCACTCCATCTCTTCTCTAGCCCGTGCCGCGCCCGTTTAGCCCCCTCGATCCGGCCGAACAAAAGTTGTTTCAGCATGCGGTGGCTGGGCATGCGGGCTACATGACCCAGCCAACGCAGCCTTGCCTACCGGAGGAGCTCACCGATGGGACCTTGCCCAGATCTTTCAAGGATTTGTGAGCTCCTCACACAATCCAGTCTGGTTAAACCCAGGATGGATCGTAGGCAGGCCAGCCTAAATGTTTCTAACCGGCGAAGATGTTCCATTAGGGGGGTCCACGTTTCGCAAGCGTAGAGAAGGGAGGGAATGACCGTGGCCGAGAAGACCTGAAGCTTAGTGCGGAGTGACAGACCAGGTAGCTTCCACACAGCGTTACGCAACCGATTAAAAGATATTGCCGCTCGACTGATTCGGAGTGAGACCTCTGCTGTTAAACCGGAGCCAGTCATAAGCACACTGCCCAGGTATGGGAAACTCTCCACTCTCTCCACAACTGCCCCATCACCGATTGGGAGTTGTGGGGGTGGAGTGTCCGATGGTACAAAATACCCAGGCAGGTGCTTAGTTTTGGTGGGGCTGATGGTAAGGCCCCACCTCTTAGTGGCACGCTCCAGTCTCGGCAGTAGCGTCTCCAACTCCTCCTCTGACTGAGCAGCTATTACCAAATCATCAGCATACATAACGTGGTTGAGCAATAGGGAGCCATCCCTTGACCGCACCCGGGCATCGATCAGCCTCCCATTGTATCCGTACCAGATGGACATTCCCCCGGTACAGCTATTGAAGGCTTCACGAACTACGTGGCCAGGCACAAGCGTCGTGGTGACGTCACCGCCACTTAGTGGCGAATGGCGGTGGTTGTTGTTGTTGTTGTGTGTAGGTGTGCGTGTGTAGGTGTGTCTGTGTGTGTGTGTAGGTGTGTCTGTGTGTGTGTGTAGGTGCTGCTCGCTACTAACAGCACTTGCCCCTACAGTCTGTGAAGGCTACACGGGGGATATTTGTCTTTGTGTCTGTGCACGTGTGTGTCTGTGTGTGAGTGTCTGTGTGTGTGTCTGTGTGTGTGTGTCTGTGTGTGTGTAGGTGCTGCTCGCTACTAACAGCACTTGCCCCTACAGTCTGTGAAGGCTACACGGGGGATCTTTGTCTGTGTGTCTGTGTGTCTCTGTGTGTGTGGCTGTGTGTGAGTGTCTGTGTGTGTGTCTGTGTGTGTAGGTGCTGCTTGCTACTAACAGCACTTGCCCCTACAGTCTGTGAAGGCTATGTGGGGGATCTTTGTCTGTGTCTCTGTGTGTGTCTGTGTGTGTCTGTGTGTGTGTCTGTGAGTGTGTGTGTAGGTGCTGCTCCCTACTAACAGCACTTGCCACTACAGTCTGTGAAGGCTACACGGGGGATCTTTGTCTGTGTGTTGCAGCACACGATGGCATCCCAGCGCTTTGTGGACGTGATGAAGGAGTACAACAGTCTGCAGACTGAGCACAGAGATCTGTGTAAGAAGAGGATCCTCAGGCAGATGGAAATCTGTGAGTGGTGGGGAGACAGTGACCATCACCACCACCAACTTCCACTACTACTATCACCATCACCATCACTACTATCACTACCATCACTACCACCAACTTCTACTACCATCACCATCACTACCATCACTACTACTACCACTATCACCACTATTACTACCATCACCACCATCAACTTCTACTACTACTATCACCATCACCATCACTACCATCACCATCACTACCATCACTACTACTACCATCACTACCACCAACTTCTACTACTACTATCACCATCACTACCATCACTACTACTATCACTATCACCACTACTACCATCACCACCACTACTATCACCACCACTACTACTACTACTATCACCACTACTACTACCATCACTACCATCACTACTACTACTACCATCACTACCATCACCACCACCAACTTCTACTACTACTATCACCATCACTACCATCACTACTACTATCACTATCACCACTACTACCATCACCACCACTACTATCACCACCACTACTACTACTACCATCACCATCACTACCATCACTACTACTACTACTATCACCACTACTACCAACTTCTACTACCATCACTACCATCACTACTACTACCATCACTACTACTGCTACTATCACTATCATCATCACTACTACTACTACTATCACTACCACTATCACCACTACTACTACTACTACCATCACTACCAACTTCTACTACTACTACCATCACCACTACTACTACTATCACCACCACTACCATCACTACTACTACTATCACCACCACTACCATCACTACCATCACTACCATCACTACTACCACTACTACTATCACCACTATCACCACTACTACTACTACCACCACTACTACCATCACTACCACTACTACTACTACCACCACTACTACTACCACTACTACCAACTTCTACTACCACTACTACTACCATCACTACTACCACCACTACTACTACCATCACTACCATCTTCTACTACCAACACTACCACCACTACTACTACCATCACTACTACTACTACCATCACTACTACCACTACTACCAACTTCTACTACCAACACTACCACCACTACTACTACCACCACTACCACCACTACTACTACCACTACTACTACTACCATCACCACCACCACTACTACTACCACTAGCATCACTACCACCACTACTACTACCACCACCACTACTACTACCACCACCACTACTACTACCACCACCACTACTACCACCACCACTACTACTACCACCACCACTATCACTACTACTACCACTATCACCACTACTACTACCACCACCACTACTACCACCACTACTACTACTACTACCACCACTACTACTACCACTACTACTACTACCATCACCACTACTACTACCACCACCACCACTACTACTACCATCACTATCACCAACTTCTACCACCACCACTATCACCACTACTATCACCACTATTACCACTACTACTACTACCACCACTACTACCACCACCACTATCACCACTACTACTACTACCATCACTATCACCACTACTACTACCACCACTATCACCACTACTACCACCACCACTATCACCACTACTACTACCACTACTACTACCACCACTATCACCACTACTACTACCACTACTAGTACCACCACCAACACTACCACCAACACTACCACCACCACTACTACTACCACTACTACTACTATTACTACTAGTACCACTATGACTACTACTACCACTACTACCACTATTACTACTACTACCACTACTACTACCACCACCACTACTACCACTACTACTACAATTACCACTACTACCACTACGACTAATACTACTACTACCACGACTACTATCACAACTACTACCACTACTACCACTACTACCACTACTACCACTATTACTACTACGACTAACACTACTACCACTACTACTCCCACTTACCACTACCACCACTACTACAATTACTACCACTACTGCTACCACCACCACCACAACTATCACTGCTACTATTACTACTAATACTACTACTACCACTACTACTACCACTACTACTACCACCACTACTACTACCACCACTACCACTACTACCACTACCACCACTACTACTACCAATACTACCACCACTACCACCACCACCACAACTACTACTACCACTACTACCACCACTACTACCACCACTACCACCACCACTACCTCCACTACCACCATCATCACCACCACTGTTGATGATGTTGATATGACGTTGATGATGACGTTGATGATGTTGATGTTGACGATGTTGATGTTGACGATGTTGATGATGATGATGTTGACGATGTTGACGATGTTGATGTTGACGATGTTGATGATGTTGCATTCAGCTGGACAGAACGTGACTGCAGAGCAGCTGGATAGCCTCATAGAGAGTGGAAGCTCTTCTGTGTTTACTCAGGGGGTGAGCAACTCGCCTACTCACTCACCTACTCACTCACCTACTCACCCACTCACTCACCTACTCATCTACTCACCCACCTACTCACTCACCTACCTACTCACTCACCTACCTACTCACCCACTCACTCACCCACTCACTCACCCACTCACTCACCTACTCACTCACCCACCTACTCACCCACTCACTCACCTACTCACCCACTCACTCACCTACTCACTCACCCACCTACTCACCCACTCACTCACCTACTCACCCACTCACTCACCTACTCACCCGTTCACTCACCCACTCACTCACCTACTCACCCCCCTACTCACCCACTCACTCACCTACTCACTCACCCACCTACTCACCCGTTCACTCACCCGCTCACTCACCTACTCACCCACCTACTCACCCACTCACCTACTCACTCACCCACCTACTCACCCACTCACTCACCTACTCACCCACCTACTCACCCACTCACCTACTCACTCACCCACCTACTCACTCACCTACTCACTCACCTACTCACTCACCTACGCACTCACTTACCTACTCATCCACTCACCCACTCACCCACTCACTAACTCACTCATTCACTCACCCACTCAATCATACACTCACTAACTCACTCATTCATTCACTCACTAACTCACTCATTCATTCACTCACCCACTCAGTCATACACTCACTAACTCACTCACCCACTCAGTGATACACTCACTAACTCACTCACTCACCCACTCAGTCATACACTCACTAACTCACTCACCCACTCAGTCATACACTCACTAACTCACTCATTCACTCACCCACTCAGTCATACACTCACTAACTCCCTCACCCACTCACGCACTCAGCCACTCACTCACCCACCCACGCACTCATCCACTCACTCATCCACTCACTCTCTCGCCCCGTGTCTCTCTCGCCCCGTGTCTCTCTCTCTCGCCCCGTGTCTCTCTCGCCCCGTGTCTCTCTCGCCCCGTGTCTCTCTCTCTTGCCCCGTGTCTCTCTCTCCCCGTGTCTCTCTCTCCCCGTGTCTCTCTCACCCCGTGTCTCTCTCTCTCTCCCCGTGTCTCTCTCTCACCCCGTGTCTCTCTCTCGCCCTGTGTCTCTCTCTCTCGCCCCGTGTCTCTCTCGCCCCGTGTCTCTCTCTCTCTCCCCGTGTCTCTCTCTCTCTCGCCCCGTGTCTCTCTCTTTCTCCCCGTGTCTCTCTCTCACCCCGTGTCTCTCTCTCTCTCCCCGTGTCTCTCTCTCACCCCGTGTCTCTCTCTCTCACCCCGTGTCTCTCTCTCTCACCCCGTGTCTCTCTCTCTCCCCGTGTCTCTCTCTCACCCCGTGTCTCTCTCACCCCGTGTCTCTCTCTCTCTCTCGCCCCGTGTCTCTCTCGCCGTGTCTCTCTCTCTCTCGCCCCGTGTCTCTCTCTCTCTCACACCGTGTCTCTCTCTCCCCGTGTCTCTCTCTCTCGCCCCGTGTCTCTCTCTCTCGCCCCGTGTCTCTCCCCCCGTGTCTCTCTCTCTCTCCCCGTGTCTCTCTCTCTCTCCCCGTGTCTCTCTCTCGCCCCGTGTCTCTCTCACCCCGTGTCTCTCTCTCTCTCTCACCCCGTGTCTCTCTCTCTCTCACCCCGTGTCTCTCTCTCTCTCCCCGTGTCTCTCTCGCCCCGTGTCTCTCTCTCTCTCTCTCACCCCGTGTCTCTCTCTCTCTCTCGCCCCGTGTCTCTCTCTCTCACCCCGTGTCTCTCTCACCCCGTGTCTCTCTCTCGCCCCGTGTCTCTCTCTCGCCCCGTGTCTCTCTCTCTCCCCGTGTCTCTCTCTCTCCCCGTGTCTCTCTCACCCCGTGTCTCTCTCACCCCGTGTCTCTCTCTCGCCCCGTGTCTCTCTCTCTCTCGCCCCGTGTCTCTCTCTCTCTCACCCCGTGTCTCTCTCACCCCGTGTCTCTCTCTCTCTCTCGCCCCGTGTCTCTCTCTCTCTCCCCGTGTCTCTCTCTCGCCCCGTGTCTCTCTCTCCCCGTGTCTCTCTCTCTCACCCCGTGTCTCTCTCTCTCTCCCCGTGTCTCTCTCACCCCGTGTCTCTCTCACCCCGTGTCTCTCTCACCCCGTGTCTCTCTCTCTCGCCCCGTGTCTCTCTCTCTCTCGCCCCGTGTCTCTCTCTCTCTCACCCCGTGTCTCTCTCTCCCCGTGTCTCTCTCTCTCTCTCACCCCGTGTCTCTCTCTCTCTCGCCCCGTGTCTCTCTCTCTCTCCCCGTGTCTCTCTCTCGCCCCGTGTCTCTCTCTCTCACCCCGTGTCTCTCTCTCTCACCCCGTGTCTCTCTCCCTCCCCGTGTCTCTCTCTCTCACCCCGTGTCTCTCTCTCTCTCCTCGTGTCTCTCTCTCTCTCCCCGTGTCTCTCTCTCGCCCCGTGTCTCTCTCTCTCCCCGTGTCTCTCTCTCTCGCCCCGTGTCTCTCTCTCTCGCCCCGTGTCTCTCTCACCCCGTGTCTCTCTCTCTCTCTCACCCCGTGTCTCTCTCTCTCACCCCGTGTCTCTCTCTCTCTCGCCCCGTGTCTCTCTCTCTCTCGCCCCGTGTCTCTCTCTCTCTCCCCGTGTCTCTCTCACCCCGTGTCTCTCTCTCTCTCGCCCCGTGTCTCTCTCTCTCTCACCCCGTGTCTCTCTCACCCCGTGTCTCTCTCTCGCCCTGTGTCTCTCTCTCTCTCGCCCCGTGTCTCTCTCTCTCTCACCCCGTGTCTCTCTCACCCCGTGTCTCTCTCTCTCTCTCACCCCGTGTCTCTCTCTCTCTCGCCCCGTGTCTCTCTCTCTCTCACCCCGTGTCTCTCTCACCCCGTGTCTCTCTCTCTCTCTCACCCCGTGTCTCTCTCTCTCTCCCCGTGTCTCTCTCTCTCTCTCCCCGTGTCTCTCTCTCTCTCCCCGTGTCTCTCTCTCTCTCCCCGTGTCTCTCTCTCCCCGTGTCTCTCTCTCTCTCTCTCCCCGTGTCTCTCTCTCTCTCCCCGTGTCTCTCTCTCCCCGTGTCTCTCTCTCTCTCTCCCCGTGTCTCTCTTTCTCTCTCCCCGTGTCTCTCTCTCTCACCCCGTGTCTCTCTCTCTCTCACCCCGTGTCTCTCTCACCCCGTGTCTCTCTCTCTCTCGCCCCGTGTCTCTCTCTCGCCCCGTGTCTCTCTCTCGCCCCGTGTCTCTCTCGCCCCGTGTCTCTCTCTCTCCCCGTGTCTCTCTCTCTCCCCGTGTCTCTCTCTCATCCCGTGTCTCTCTCTCTCGCCCCGTGTCTCTCTCTCCCTCGCCCCGTGTCTCTCTCACCCCGTGTCTCTCTCTCTCTCCCCGTGTCTCTCTCTCTCTCGCCCCGTGTCTCTCTCTCTCGCCCCGTGTCTCTCTCACCCCGTGTCTCTCTCTCTCTCTCTCTCCCCGTGTCTCTCTCTCTCTCGCCCCGTGTCTCTCTCTCTCTCTCCCCGTGTCTCTCTCTCTCTCCCCGTGTCTCTCTCACCCCGTGTCTCTCTCTCTCTCCCCGTGTCTCTCTCTCTCGCCCCGTGTCTCTCTCTCTCTCGCCCGTGTCTCTCTCTCTCGCCCCGTGTCTCTCCCTCTCTCCCCGTGTCTCTCTCTCTCTCCCCGTGTCTCTCTCTCTCTCGCCCCGTGTCACTCTCTCTCTCTCCCCGTGTCTCTCTCTCTCTCCCCGTGTCTCTCTCACCCCGTGTCTCTCTCTCTCTCCCCGTGTCTCTCTCTCTCGCCCCGTGTCTCTCTCTCTCTCGCCCGTGTCTCTCTCTCTCTCCCCGTGTCTCTCTCTCTCACCCCGTGTCTCTCTCTCTCCCCGTGTCTCTCTCACCCCGTGTCTCTCTCTCTCTCTCCCCGTGTCTCTCTCTCACCCCGTGTCTCTCTCTCGCCCCGTGTCTCTCTCACCCCGTGTCTCTCTCTCTCTCTCCCCGTGTCTCTCTCTCGCCCCGTGTCTCTCTCGCCCCGTGTCTCTCTCGCCCCGTGTCTCTCTCGCCCTGTGTGTCTCTCTCTCTCTCTCTCCCCGTGTCTCTCTCTCTCCCCGTGTCTCTCTCTCACCCCGTGTCTCTCTCTCTCTCTCTCTCCCCGTGTCTCTCTCTCTCTCGCCCCGTGTCTCTCTCTCTCTCGCCCCGTGTCTCTCTCTCTCTCTCCCCGTGTCTCTCTCTCTCTCCCCGTGTCTCTCTCACCCCGTGTCTCTCTCTCTCTCCCCGTGTCTCTCTCTCTCGCCCCGTGTCTCTCTCTCTCTCGCCCGTGTCTCTCTCTCTCTCCCCGTGTCTCTCCCTCTCTCCCCGTGTCTCTCTCTCTCTCCCCGTGTCTCTCTCTCTCTCGCCCCGTGTCACTCTCTCTCTCTCCCCGTGTCTCTCTCTCTCTCCCCGTGTCTCTCTCACCCCGTGTCTCTCTCTCTCTCCCCGTGTCTCTCTCTCTCGCCCCGTGTCTCTCTCTCTCTCGCCCGTGTCTCTCTCTCTCTCCCCGTGTCTCTCTCTCTCACCCCGTGTCTCTCTCTCGCCCCGTGTCTCTCTCACCCCGTGTCTCTCTCTCTCTCTCCCCGTGTCTCTCTCTCACCCCGTGTCTCTCTCTCGCCCCGTGTCTCTCTCACCCCGTGTCTCTCTCTCTCTCTCCCCGTGTCTCTCTCTCGCCCCGTGTCTCTCTCGCCCCGTGTCTCTCTCGCCCCGTGTCTCTCTCGCCCTGTGTGTCTCTCTCTCTCTCTCTCCCCGTGTCTCTCTCTCGCCCCGTGTCTCTCTCTCTCTCGCCCCGTGTCTCTCTCTCTCTCCCCGTGTCTCTCTCTCTCCCCGTGTCTCTCTCTCTCCCCGTGTGTCTCTCTCTCGCCCCGTGTCTCTCTCCACCGCCAGTACATCCTGGAGTCCCAGCTCACGAGGCAGCAGCTGGGTGAGATCCAGTCACGTCACGAGGAGCTCCTCAAGCTGGAGAAGAGCATTCAGGAGGTGCATGACATGTTCATCAACATCGCCATAATGGTGGCATCGCAGGTGAGTGAGTGGTGAGTGTGTGGTGAGTCTGGTGTGTGGTGAGTGAGTGGTCAGTGTGTGGTGAGTGAGTGGTGAGTGTGTGGTGAGTCTGTGGTGAGTGGTGAGTCTGTGTGAGTGAGTCTGTGGGTCTCTGTGTGAGTGAGTCTGTGGGTCTCTGCGTGAGTGAGTCTGTGGGTCTCTGCGTGAGTGAGTCTGTGGTGAGTGTGTGGTGAGTGAGTGGTGAGTGAGTGATGAGTGGTGAGTGTGTGGTGAGTCTCTGTGAGTGTGTGGTGAGTCTGTGGTGAGTGGTGAGTCTCTGTGAGTGAGTGGTGAGTGAGTGGTGAGTGAGTGGTGAGTGTGTGGTGAGTCTGTGGTGAGTGAGTGGTGAGTGAGTGGTGAGTGTGTGGTGAGTCTGTGGTGAGTGTGTGGTGAGTGAGTGGTGAGTCTCTGTGAGTGAGTGGTGAGTGTGTGGTGAGTCTGTGGTGAGTGGTGAGTCTCTGAGTGAGTGGTGAGTGAGTGGTGAGTGTGTGGTGAGTGTGTGGTGAGTCTGTGGTGAGTGTGTGGTGAGTGAGTGGTGAGTGAGTGGTGAGTGTGTGGTGAGTGGTGAGTGTGTGGTGAGTGAGTGGTGAGTGTGTGGTGAGTGTGTGGTGAGTGAGTGGTGAGTGTGTGGTGAGTGGTGAGTGTATGGTGAGTGGTGAGTGAGTGGTGAGTCTGTGGTGAGTCTGGTGAGTGGTGAGTGTGTGGTGAGTGTGTGGTGAGTGGTGAGTGAGTGGTGAGTCTGTGGTGAGTCTGTGGTGAGTGAGTGGTGAGTGAGTGGTGAGTGTGTGGTGAGTGGTGAGTGTGTGGTGAGTGGTGAGTGTGTGATGAGTCTGTGGTGAGTGGTGAGTGAGTGGTGAGTGGTGAGTGAGTGGTGAGTGTGTGGTGAGTCTGTGGTGAGTCTCTGTGAGTGAGTCTGTGGGTCTCTGTGTGAGTGAGTCTGTGGGTCTCTGTGTGAGTGAGTCTGTGGGTCTCTGCGTGAGTGAGTCTGTGGGTTTCAGTGTGAGTGAGTCTGTGTGTGTCTTTGTGAGTGAGTCTGTGTGTGTCTTTGTGAGTGAGTCTGTGGGTCTCTGTGTGAGTGAGTCTGTGGGTCTCTGTGTGAGTGAGTCTGTGGGTCTCTGTGTGAGTGAGTCTGTGGGTCTCTGTGTGAGTGAGTCTGTGGGTCTCTGCGTGAGTGAGTCTGTGGGTCTCTGCGTGAGTGAGTCTGTGGGTCTCTGTGTGAGTGAGTCTGTGTGTGTCTTTGTGAGTGAGTCTGTGGGTCTCTGTGTGAGTGAGTCTGTGGGTCTCTGTGTGAGTGAGTCTGTGGGTCTCTGTGTGAGTGAGTCTGTGGGTCTCTGTGTGAGTGAGTCTGTGTGTGTCTTTGTGAGTGAGTCTGTGGGTCTCTGCGTGAGTGAGTCTGTGGGTCTCTGTGTGAGTGAGTCTGTGGGTCACTCTGTGAGTGTGCTTGTAGGTCTCTGCGTGAGTGAGTCTGTGGGTTTCTGTGTGTGGGTGTCTGTGTGAGTGAGTCTGTGTGTCTCTGTGTATGTGTCTCTGTGTGTCTCTGTGTGTGTGTCTCTGTGTGTCTCTCTGTCTCCGCGTGTGTGTGTGTCTCTGTGTGTGTGTGTGTGTGTGTCTGTGTCTCTGTGTGTGTCTATGTGTGTCTCTGTGTGTGTGTCTCTGTGTGTCTCTGTGTCTCTGTGTGTGTCTGTGTGTCTCTGTGTGTGTGTCTCTGTGTGTGTGTGTCTCTGTGTGTGTGTCTGTGTGTCTCTGTGTGAGTGAGTCTGTGTGTCTCTGTGTGTGTGTCTCTGTGTGTGTGTCTCTGTGTGTGTGTCTCTGTGTGTGTGTCTCTGTGTGTCTCTGTGTGTCTCTGTGTCTCTGTGTGTGTGTGTCTCTGTGTGAGTGAGTCTGTGTGTGAGTGAGTCTGTGTGTGTGTGTGTCTCTGTGTGTCTCTGTGTGTCTCTGTGTGTGTGTCTCTGTGTGTGTCTGTGTGTGTGTCTCTGTGTGAGTGAGTCTGTGTGTGTGTGTCTCTGTGTGTCTCTGTGTGTGTGTCTCTGTGTGTTTCTGTGTCTCTGTGTGTGTGTGTGTCTCTGTGTGAGTGAGTCTGTGTGAGTGTGTCTCTGTGTGTGTGTGTCTGTGTGTGTGTGTGTGTGTCTCTGTGTGAGTGAGTCTGTGTGTGTGTGTCTCTGTGTGAGTGAGTCTGTGTCTCTGTGTGTGTGTGTGTATCTCTGTGTGTGTGTGTCTCTGTCTGTGTGTCTGTGTGTGTGTGTGTCTCTGTGTGTGTGTGTGTGTCTCTGTGTGTGTGTGTGTGTCTGTGTGTGTGTGTTTCTGTGTGTGTTTGTCTCTGTGTGTGTGTGTCTCTGTGTGTGTGTGAGTGTGTGTGTGTGTCTCTGTGTGTGTGTCTCTGTGTGAGTGTGTGTGTGTCTCTGTGTGTGGGTCTCTGTGTGTGTGTCTCTGTGTGTGTCTCTGTGTGTCTCTGTCTCTGTGTCTCTATGTGTCTCTGTGTGTGTGTCTCTGTGTGTGTGTGTGTGTCTCTGTGTGTGTCTCTGTGTCTCTATATGTGTGTGTGTGTCTCTCTGTGTCTGTGTGTCTGTCTGTGTCTCTGTGTCTCTGTGTGTCTGTGTCTCTGTGTGTGTGTGTCTCTGTGTGTGTGTCTCTGTGTGTCTGTGTCTCTATGTGTCTCTGTGTGTGTCTCTGTGTCTCTATATGTGTGTGTGTGTCTCTGTGTCTCTGTGTGTGTGTCTCTCTGTGTCTGTCTGTGTCTCTGTGTCTCTGTGTCTCTGTGTCTCTGTGTGTGTCTCTGTGTCTCTATATGTGTGTCTGTGTCTCTATGTGTCTCTGTGTGTGTCTCTGTGTGAGTCTCTGTGTGTCTATGTGTGTGTCTCTGTGTGTGTCTCTGTGTCTCTGTGTGTGTGAGTGTGTCTCTGTGTGTGTCTCTGTGTCTCTGTGTGTCTCTGTGTGTGTGTGTCTCTGTGTGTGTCTCTGTGTCTCTATATGTGTGTGTGTGTGTCTCTGTGTCTCTGTGTGTGTCTCTGTGTCTGTCTGTGTGCGCAGGGCGACATGGTGAACAACATTGAGGAGCACGTGAAGAGCGCGTCGGAGCACACGGAGAAGGGGCGCACGGTGCTGGAGCAGGCGGTGACGCACAAACGGAGCGCACGCAAGGTACACACACACATACACCTATACACCTACAGCTACACACACACACAGCTACACACACACAGCTACACACACACACATACACACACACACACACCTACAGCTACACACACATACACCTACAGCTAAACACACATACACCTACAGCTACACACACATACACCTACAGCTACACACACACCTACACCTACAGCTACACACACATACACCTATACACACACATATACACCTACAGCTACACACACAGCTACACACACACATACACCTACAGCTACACACACACATACACCTACACCTACACACATACACCTACAGCTACACACACATACACCTACAGCTACACACACATACACCTACAGCTACACACACAGCTACACACACACACATACACGGAGAAGGGGCGCACGGTGCTGGAGCAGGCGGTGACGCACAAACGGAGCGCACGCAAGGTACACACACACATACACCTATACACCTACAGCTACAGCTAGACACACACACACAGACACACCTACACACACACACATACACCTACAGCTACACACAGCTACACACACAGCTACACACACACACACCTACAGCTACACACACATACACCTACAGCTACACACACACACACCTACAGCTACACACACATACACCTACACACACACACACACCTACAGCTACACACACATACACCTACACACACATACACACACACCTACAGCTACACACACACACCTACACACACACATACACCTACAGCTACACACACACATACACCTACACCTACACACATACACCTACAGCTACACACACATACACCTACAGCTACAGCTACACACACATACACCTACAGCTACACACACATACACCTACAGCTACACACACATACACCTATACACACACACACACACACCTACACACACATACACCTACAGCTACACACACAGCTACACACACACACACACCTATACACCTACAGCTACACACACCTACACCTACAGCTACACACACACCTACACCTACAGCTACACACACATACACCTACAGCTACAGCTACACACACATACACCTACAGCTACACACACATACACCTACAGCTACACACACATACAGCTACAGATACACACACATACACCTACAGCTACAGCTACACACACACACACCTACACACACACACATACACCTACAGCTAAACACACATACACCTACAGCTACACACACCTATACACCTACAGCTACACACACATACAGCTACAGATACACACACATACACCTACAGGTACACACACATACACCTACAGCTAAACACACATACACCTACAGCTACACATACACCTACAGCTACACACACACACACACCTACACCTACATACATACACCTACAGCTACACACACACAGCTACACACACAGCTACACACACACAGCTACACACACACACATACACACACACACATACACCTACAGCTAAACACACATACACCTACAGCTACACACACCTATACACCTACAGCTACACACACATACAGCTACAGATACACACACATACACCTACAGGTACACACACATACACCTACAGCTAAACACACATACACCTACAGCTACACATACACCTACAGCTACACACACACACACACCTACACCTACATACATACACCTACAGCTACACACACACAGCTACACACACACCTACACACCTACACACCTACACGGAGAAGGGGCGCACGGTGCTGGAGCAGGCGGTGACGCACAAACGGAGCGCACGCAAGGTACACACACACACACAGCTACAGCTACACACACCTATACACCTACACCTACATACATACACACATACACCTACAGCTACAGCTATACACACATACACCTACAGCTACACACATACACCTACAGCTACACACACATACACCTACAGCTACACACACACCTACACCTACAGCTACACACACATACACCTACAGCTACACACACATACACCTACAGCTACACACACATACACCTACAGCTACACACACACATACACCTACAGCTACACACACATACACCTACAGATACACACACACACACCTACAGCTACACACACACACACCTACAGCTACACACACACATACACATACAGCTACACACACATACACCTACAGCTACACACACATACACCTACAGCTACAGCTACACACACATACACCTACAGCTACACACACATACACCTACAGCTACACACACACATACACCTACAGCTACACACACACACACCTACAGCTACACACACATACACCTACACAACAACAACAACAACCGCCATTCGCCACTAAGTGGCGGTGACGTCACCACGACGCTTGTGCCAGGCTATGTGCACCCTGAGGCCACGTGAAGTGTCGAACGCCCGCTGGCAGGAGGTCACGGGGCAGACCCAGGTGCCACGGGTCGACTGACTGAGATGACTGGCTGATGCACCACCTGTGCCCCCTACTGTGCCAACCTGCTGTGCTTTAGCCACCCGGCGCTCCGCTCGCTGTTGTGAGCGTCGCTCCTCCGCCCTCCGTTGTTGTTGGAGGGCGACTGCCTCCAACTGCCCAGTAGCATCCTTCACGAGCCTCCTCCACAGAGGCCGATCTTGACACCGCTGGTACCAGTCATCGGCAAGTCCACTCAGCTCCACGTCCTCCTGTACCACATCACTCCATCTCTTCTCTAGCCCGTGCCGCGCCCGCTTAGCCCCCTCAATCCGGCCAAACAAAAGCTGTTTCGGCATGCGGTGGCTGGGCATGCGGGCTACATGACCCAGCCATCGCAGCCTTGCCTGCCGGAGGAGCTCACCGATGGGACCCTGCCCAGATCTTTCAAGGATTTGTGAGCTCCTCACACAATCCAGTCTGGTTAAACCCAGGATGGATCGTAGGCAGGTCAGCCTAAATGTTTCTAACCGGCGAAGATGTTCCATTAGGGGGGTCCACGTTTCGCAAGCGTAGAGAAGGGAGGGAATGACCGTGGCCGAGAAGACCTGAAGCTTAGTGCGGAGCGACAGACCAGGTAGCTTCCACACAGCGTTACGCAACCGATGAAAAGATATTGCCGCTCGACTGATTCGGAGTGAGACCTCTGCTGTTAAACTGGAGCCAGTCATAAGCACACTGCCCAGGTATGGGAAACTCTCCACTCTCTCCACAACTGCCCCATCACCGATTGGGAGTTGTGGGGGTGGAGTGTCCGATGGTACAAAATACCCAGGCACACACACACACACACCTACACCTACAGCTACACACACACACACCTACAGCTACACACACCTATACACCTACAGCTACACACACACATACACCTACAGCTACACACACATACACCTACAGCTACACACACACCTACAGCTACACACACATACACCTACACCTACAGCTACACACACATACACCTACAGCTACACACACATACACCTACAGCTAAACACACATACACCTACAGCTACACATACACCTACAGCTACACACACACACACCTACAGCTACACACACACATACACCTACAGCTACACACACATACACCTACAGCTACACACACACACCTATACACACACACACACACAGCTACACACACACACCTACACACACACACACCTACACACACACACATACACCTACAGCTACACACACATACACCTACAGCTACACATACACCTACAGCTACACACACATACACCTACAGCTACACACACACATACACCTACAGCTACACACACACATACACCTACAGCTACACACACACACACCTACAGCTACACACACATACACCTACAGCTACACACACATACACCTACAGCTACACACACACATACAGCTACAGCTACACACACATACACCTACAGCTACACACACCTACACCTACAGCTACACACACATACACCTACAGCTACATACACATACACCTACAGCTACAGCTACACACACACCTACACCTACAGCTACACACACACACCTATACACACACACACACACAGCTACACACACACACACCTACACACACACACACCTACACACACATACACCTACAGCTACACAGACATACACATACACCTACAGCTACACACACATACACCTACAGCTACACACACACCTACACCTACAGCTACACACACATACACCTACAGCTACACACACATACACCTACAGCTACACACACATACACCTACAGCTACACACACATACACCTACAGCTACAGCTACACACACATACACCTACAGCTACACACACATACACCTACAGCTACACACACATACACCTACAGCTACACACACATACACCTACAGCTACACACACATACACCTACAGCTACACACACACCTACACCTACAGCTACACACACATACACCTACAGCTACACACACATACACCTACACCTACAGCTACACACACATACACCTACAGCTACACACACATACACCTACAGCTACACACATACACACATACCTACACACACATACACCTACAGCTACACACACATACACCTACAGCTACACACACACATACACCTACAGCTACACACACACATACACCTACAGCTACACACACACACACCTACAGCTACACACACATACACCTACAGCTACACACACATACACCTACAGCTACACATACACCTACAGCTACACACACATACACCTACACCTACACACACATACACCTACAGCTACACACACACACACCTACAGCTACACACACACACACCTACAGCTACACACACATACACCTACAGCTACACACACATACACCTACAGCTACACACACATACACCTACAGCTACACACACATACACCTACAGCTACACACACATACACCTACAGCTACACACACATACACCTACAGCTACAGCTACACACACATACACCTACAGCTACACACACATACACCTACAGCTACACACACACATACACCTACAGCTACACACACACACACCTACAGCTACACACACATACACCTACACACACACACCTACACCTACAGCTACACACACACACACCTA